CACATAAAAAACCCCGCCGGTTCCCAAGCCGTGCAGGCGTGTCTGCGTGCCCTAGTCGGTAGCGTATCTGGTTTGTAACCGAAGTGACGAAAATAATCCCTGGAGATGGGGAACAAGAGGGACAAAGGACAAACACAATTCTCCAAACACAGCCGCCATTCTTGTTTAGCCCGCTTGCACCTTTGCGTTTAATTGCATTTTAATTGTAACCGAAGGTTCGTTGGTTCCATCTATTCGGTCTAACTCCGATAGATTTCATATAGACTTCCGTCTATTCGGACTAACTCCGGTGAACAAAACGTCAACTTTCAGGTACCCCGGTTCCTAAATGCCGTCGGTACTAATTTAATACTTACTGGAAACCAAAATACATTTAAAAGAGACCTACGTTCCTTTCTAATTTCCCCACGAGTTAGAAATCATATAGATGGGTTCTCAGTAAGTCTTTCAGGCTTTTAAACATTATTTCGCGTCATGCTTTTCGTGCTCTATAATGTTTATACTTTTAATGCGGCCATGTTTTGCGACTTTCTATTGAGTGGAAAGTGCCTAAAATGACAGGTATTTCTTCATGATTTCGAATTATATATATATATATGTTAAATAATTTGTTTATATAAGTGCGTGCCACTTTTTGTTTTCCTGCCTATATCCTGTGTACAATATTGTTTATGATGGGCACAATTCTTACAGTTTAGGGTCTTATATTTTTCATTCATAGTCAATGGGTGATACATTGATACATTTACAGATGCTATTTTTTACATTTTGTTTACATGATTTACTTCCATTTTTTTAATTTTATCCGGGTGCTTTTCTCAACTTGTGTCTGTATTTTATTGTGCACTTTAGTGTGATGCATTTATAGGTCTTACTGACAACGAATATGGTTGTCTGTGTTCTCTATGTACATTTATTTTGTGTGTGCAAATGTTACATGTTTCTTGTTTTGAGCGAGCTCGTTTCCTTGAGTAACAAAGGGAGCTTATTTTTACTACACATATATTCGAATTCCCTTCCACCGCCCTCCTTTTGCTGTTGGACTTTGCCGCCCCCCCACCTGTTGGGCCTTGGTGCCTCGTCGGGCGAGACGATCGCTTCTTGCGCCAATGGCCATTTCAAGCGCCAAGGGCCATTGAATTTGATTGAATTGAATTTGGAAGCCTACGGCTGTCAGTTAAAACAGGATGGATGAATGAATAGATGGATGTTAATTCCTGTACCCTTTGTAACGAGCGGTATCTTGCGCCACCTAGCCTAAGTCTAAAAAGACAAACATCTGACTCCTCCCACCCTTTTAAGTCAATTCTCTCTAACTATCACGAGGCAGTCTGGGATATCACCAGGATGGCCTTTGAGGGATCAAACACAAAAAGAAAAACTAAAAATATTAACCGCCCCCCCCCCCCCCCCGCTTTTTTCCCCCCGGCGAAGGAGTCGCCACTTTTTCTCTCGTTAAAAGTTGGCGTTACCACAACACCGGGACCACTGGGAGACAGGGTTGAGACTTTGGGCCGGAGCCACGCGGTAGGGTGTCCCAATAGACCGATCTCACAAGGAGTTGCGCGACGCCACCGCTACCGCGGTGCATTCTGGTACCTGTAGTTCTGCCCAGTTTTCCGGCCGCGTCGGCGCGCATTGTACGCCCGGCGTTCGGAAATTTTCGGGTTAGCACGAGACTTTTAGCCAGGTGTTGACTCATGGCTTTCAATCGGTGGCTTCACATGTTGTATGCCACGGAGCTATAATAAGAGCACCAGGCAAAAAGGCCTCGGATATTATATCTTCCCGCAAGAAAGAAGCATGGCAAAGAAAGGTCGACAGAGCCGGACAGAGCGGCAGGAAAAATAGCGTTTTGCGATTTGTTTCGCGATTTGCTTCATAATTTATATCCAATTATCGCACGTCAGCTAAAATATGTAAGATTACAGGGCAGGAGACATAGAGCGTGCCGAAGTGTTCCGTAAGCTGGAATCTCTCTAACCATTTGCTCCGTAGCGACCTATTCGTTGGTCTATCTAAAAATGACCTCCGCACTGCTTTGTGGAGGCCGTTTTTAACACACTTCTTACTCGGTGTATTTTGGTGGTTATAACTGTTATTGCGACGACATGTTTCAAGCACAACTGTGCTTCAAAAGATCAGGACAATCATTAAAAAAGAGCAGCGATTCCCGATATGCACTACTTGATATAAAACAACTTTTTTTCAGAAGCAGACTTCATTTTTTTTTTTTTCATAACAACGCGAAACGATTACATAATGCAATTTAGAAGTGCAACACGTACTTACCGCCAAAAATGTAACAAACGAACCCCATCCATTTTGTGGTGGTCTATTAATCTGGGTGTTACTGATCCATTCTGCACTAGCACCAGTCGAGACCGCAGAAAAAAGCTTCCCCCGTCGGGCGACTGTTAGCGTTCGGATCTTGCGCAAACAAAATAAAACTGAATAGAAACTGTGCACGAAAAATCATCTCCACCCCAAGCTTTTAGGTATCTGGCATGGTTGCTTCTTTTTGATAGATGCCAATTATTGCGGCGCGTTAGGCATGGCCTTTCTGTAGATCAGTTCTTTGTGTGCAGGCTTCTCCCGCTACTCATCTGTACTCTGTCGCACAGGCTGTCAACCAGAATGAAACAACTTTTAGAAAACTATCGCTGACCGAGAAAGTCTATTTAGCTCCTCTTACTTGATGGCTGATTAAACGTTATGCACAAGACTGAGCACCACCAAGCTCAGTTTTTCATCACATTTGATGCTGTTCCGTGGTGCTACACCGAGCCGATGGTCCCTCTAATTTTGTTTTTTTGCTATTGCACTAGATGTTCACTTGTTTGCAAAATAATTGAGACGTCCGAGCAGTCGGAATGCCCGAGTAGTGGCGCCGTTGTTTTTTTGTTTTGTTTTTTTCCGCGGCCGCAGTGGAATTGCCCCGTGAACGGCAGTGGGCTCACGCGTTCACGAAGACGAAGAAGCAGACGACGACGAAGCAGACGACAAAGCGATTCTAAAGCGATAAGACGACTGAAACTGCTTTTCTGCACTTGCTGAGGAAAGTAAGGCATCACAAACAACACAATCGTTTGAAGTAAAAACATGCAAGAGAATCAAGGTGATACCGGGGCGTGCCAAATGATAATCTTTGACGATGTACGTACGCGCAGCCGTATGTAGCCGGAAAGCCGGGAAGGGAGGACTACAAGTAGCATGGCGGCGGCACCACTTCCGGAATGCGCGCGCCTGCGCAGTTCGCTTGGTGACATCGGTCTATTGTCCTCTGTCCCGCTTGTCCCGAGCTGTGCTAGTTAGTTGTGCATCGTTCAGTTTTTTTCTAAATAATTCCCCCCAATCTTTTAATCGCCTTTTTGTGACTGTAATCCTTTTCTCTTCCGTCTTTCCATCCTCGCCACCAAAACCCAGGGCCCGTGTTGTGGTAAATCCATTATCCCCTCATGGAGAGCAGGGCGAAGCCCCGCGCACTTCAAAGCCAAATGCTCTCGCTCTCATTATAGCATGCGGCACATAATGTATCTGTCCCCTCAAATTTACCCCTATACCTACTTGCCTCAAAACTTCCGTTATTGCCTCAAACGGTCAAAAAAAAAAAACTTTCCAGTGAGTTGTCAAACACATTTTTCTTTTTTATCTGTTTTTGTGACCTGTACATCGTTAGAGCTGGTTTTTTCTGCATTCTTCACTCCCACATTTACCTTTCTTTCTGCCTCTTTCACTTTTTTGTCCACTGAAGTAGTCTGCTCAGCCTTATCCCTATACTCGTGTTCCACCTCAAGAATCGTAATAAAAAAAGTTCGGTTCCTCGCGGACCATTACTGATTTCGCCCTTTATGTATAAAATTAAGGTATATGTAGGAAAGCTTTAGCTTAGATAAATGTTATCTTATCTAGACGTACACGCTTCGAACGTCAAGAGTGTCATTTTTGCCCCCGATAACCAAATATTGCAAGCACTACTTCGCGCGGCGGATGAATAATGCGCAAAACTTCCTCTTTTGTAGTAGTGAAAACGAGTATAGTGTGTAGGTATCCAAACCTTAGCCTTTCGGGGTCAGTTCGTCTATTTTTTATTTAAGCTTTTTATGTGTAAACTTTTCATCACACCGATTTTTTCGTCTCAGTGCTGCCAGATGGTGAAACTCGTCACAAGCTTTTGGGAATCTGCTGAAATTTTTGAGCCTTGGAGTTTCTCGTTAGTCAACCACGACACGAAACAAAAATTTGTGAAATCTGGGGGAAGATGCGTCGTCACCGCAAGCAACTGAAAGCGCTACCGGTGCCGCGTTAAACTAGCAATCCCTGAGTGGCACGAACCGCATCTCGACTGAACTGGAGCTGTAGAGCCACATGTTGGAAAGACAAGGTCAAGTGTTCGTTTTTAGATAAAACCAATCCGCTAGAGAATACACATAATGGTTATTTGTTACTTTATCATAACGTACATATTTCGAACGCAAGAGTGTTTTTTTTTAATTTCCTTTTGTAAACCAAATCTTGCACAGACACATACACACACGCACGCACGCACACACACACACACAAAAAAAAAAGCAATTTTGCCCAGTACATGGACAGCACCTTCTTTCTATCCCTACGACATGATTCCTTCTTTTTATTTATTTATGTATTTGTCTTCTATTCATTCATTCATGCATTGATTTATTTTGCCCACAGGGTCAGGGTCATTACAGAGGGGAGTGGTGAGAAAATGAACAAAATAACTGGAGAATACAAGATGGTTCAACAACGGGGAACACATGTTTTCGAACACTTGAAGAAGAAAATTACACTTTCAACAAATGACGTAAGTGATGCAGGTAGATGATTCCATCCTGGCGCCCACTTGATGTAGTCTATCTCGTTGACATCCGTGTACACCTCCACATTTTAGACAAAACAAGTGTATTGTGAGTTTTGTTAGAGCTAGCAGTTTGCAACCAACTCAGTCGTTATCTTCTTTTTTTCACATTCTGACGCAGTGGTTCAACAAGACTACGAGGTAAATGTGCACGACGGCTTCGCCGCCAGGGGCAGCACCGCCGTGCTCACGTGCCAGATCCAACCGGCCGCGGCACGTGACTACACGAGCGTCCTATCGTGGCTCCGGGACGACAAGTACGTCATCACGAGCGGTGGCCAATCAGACGGTGAGTACGAAGCGTCTCAAATAAGCCGGACTATAGTAATACAGTCTACTTCGTTTCCCCTTAAAGCTGCAGTCATACTGTTCATACGCCATACAAGAGACGCGGAGTTTCTCTGCAGATGTTGAGGGCGGAAGTATCCGCGGACACTCGTCGTACATGTTCGAAGCCAGACACTGTCTGTATAGTGTATGAACGGGGTGACTGTGGCTCACTTACCGCGGCGACCGATCGGCATTGCGGGGTTCTCCTTTTGTGTGTGTGTGTGTTTCTGTACGACCAAAGCCATCTTTGCAGATTTATTTTTTGTTGTTGTTTTATGGCGACGAGTTATACTCTCTTTTTCCAGCGGTTACCCCTCGGACCAAATGATAAGCCGAGTCACTGGGTTGTGGACGCGTGCGCGTCTCGTCTGAATCATTTCCTCGGAAGAGAGTCACTGCGCATGCTCAGAACGCGATCCACAACCCAGCAGACAATGGCGACAGTCCCACAGATGGTCGGTTGGTACGCGCACCCAGTGTCAGCGCTCGTACCGCTTATTTGTAAACGTTACGGACGTGCGAGCATGTGCGCGCGCGTACGCAGAAACCAGATTCGAGTGAAGCGTGTCTGCGCCTGCAACGTGCCTGCAACGTGACGGCCGCGCGTTCGTGCGTACCGACGTTATGAGATCAATTCGGTTGTGAAACTCCCGCGGAGGGGGTTAGCCCCAGCTGAACTCTATTGTAGTAGTAGGCCGGACCGCGGATCGGTAGCCCGACGGTGGCACCATGCACCGGCGGCCATTGCTTGACACCAGGCTGTTCATGCGAGTCTGTGAATGAGAAGAATGGAAAAAAAAAATGGTTGAAGCTTTTGTGAACTGTCTTATAAAAAAACTTCAACGAGGTGTTGCGGGGATAGTAAGGGAGAATTTGCAGACGTCAGTAACCTTTGCAAAGGTTAATAAGTTACACAAACAGCGTGCCAATCTCTGTCGCTTGCTGCCATCGACAGAATTCGTCTGCTCGACTGTTACGAATCGTTGTCGTCATGCTTCAAAACCGCCTTTTTTGCTTTAAAAAACTCACAATACAAACACAGTTTCCTTTTTTTTAGAGCGCAGCTCTTAGGCGCCCGTTTCCGGCTTGAGCGGCGTCGCCGTCGCCGTCGGCATAACCGCGCGTTGCATTATAGCAAACGTCCCATAATGCACCGCGGTGACGCGCTCGTTGCATTATGGGACGTCTGTGATAATGCACCGCGCGGGAGGGAGCAGCAGAGAAGGGTAGGGGGAAGAGGAGAAGTGGAGGAGGAAGGAGGAGGAGGGGAAAGGGTGGAGAGGATATGGGGAGGAGGAGAGAGGATGAGGTGGAGGGAGGAGGAGAAGGAAAAGGGGGAAGATGGGTAGGAGGAGGGAGGTGAAGGGGTAGGAGGAGGAGGAGGGAGGAAAAGGAGAAGAGCATGAGAGGAGTAGATGAGGAGGGAGGAGGAGAGGGTACGGATGAGGAGGAGGGGCATACCGTCCCTTCTGTACCCTCCTGTCCTCCTCCTCAAGGGCTGCGCTCTAATTCGGCCTTACGGGCAATTGTAAACATGTTTTATTTTATTTTTTTATGACAATGTTTTAAAAGGAGAAGTTACTTTAGCGAGAAAGAGTAAATTTGTCATCAGATATCCTCTGCTTTGATTTGAAACCAAGAATGATATCTCAAACGCAATCTACAACCCTTTATAAGTAAAAATATAAAAATAAGCTTGACAGCGGAGCAAAGCTTTCTGGCTGCTTGCATGACGGCACGAGCCTCACTGGTTTTTTGTGGGGCCCGTGGTGCAAGTCAGTGGAGGATAGAAGAGTATTTTCCCCTAAAACGTCATTACAGAATGTATTGATATTACGACAGAAAATTTCTCACAATTTCTAAAAAAATTCCGTCGGTGCAGGGTCATCCAAAATAAAATAAAAAAAACTCACTTTTTTTACGTTTTTTGTTTCCTCCGTAGGGTTAAATGCATTTGCTGGTGTCAAGCGGTGGTCACCGGTGGTATTACTCAACCCCAGAAAAACAAGCCTTGAGGCGCGATCCAACCTACTATGATAGACATCAGTAATTGCACCCCCCCCCCCCCCCCCCCCCCCGCCCCCCACCCACTTCTCCGCCTCAGGCCCGAGCTTCCCCGCCACCCGTCGTTTGAAGCGCCATCTTGAAGCTGCATTTCTAAACTGTATTCTTCGAAGACGCTGCGGTGAAGCGCCATCTAAACACTGTGCATCAAAACCTGTGTAACTGTAGTTACCATAGCAGCCACAGCCGTTCCCCAAGAAACGGTGGCGCGTTGAACGAGGTGAAGCTAAGGTCCCTGTAGGGGCCTTACGGGAAGCGGACCTTGGGGGGGGGGGGGGGGGGGGGGGGGGTTCAGTTTGTGCAGGCGGTGTCTATAAGCAGTGCCGTCGCTGAGTTGATCTAGTAACATTGTTGTATACCATTACCCGTCTAGCAAGCCGCCTCAAATACGGAGGGCGCTTTCCTTTGAGCCCTCTTCCCGTCCTAAGTCGTTCAGCCCGGCCAGGGAAGGCTGCAACCAGGGTAAACAAAGTATCCAGATATTTAAATGAAGGAAGATAAAGCACGCGAAGGACAAGAAGTGACCCCAAGAGGGCACTGTTTCAAGGGGAAATGCAAACTGAGCACACAAGAGCCACCTCAAAGTCATAGAAGGCATTGATCAAGCGGGAATAAAAGAAGAAAAAAAAAAAGTTCCACGAGGAAAACAACGGCTCGACGTTTTCTCTCGTAAAAACGTCCGTTGCAGATGACGGAGCTCCGCTTCGCCTCGAACATGGGCGAGACGGAAAGAAGAATACCAAAATAAGCGGTGGAAGTGATACATACCGGCAACAATGTAACATACACAAATGTGCACGCGACCAAAAAGAGCGCGAAAGAGAGTAAAAAAGAAATAGAAAGAGAGAGAGAAAGAGGGGAATGCAGATTGGTTTTGGGTTGTTTGGATTGTTGTCGTATCATTGCACTCCGCTACGCGCTGCCGCTTACCCACCAAAGCAAAATATCAAGATGACAAGCAAAAAATATTAAAGCAAATGTGCGGCCTTATAGGCAATCAAGCTCTTAGCTGGGACATTGGGAAAGTATTTGTCCACAAGCGTGCAGATATACAGGCGTACACAAAATGTAATGTGTTTTACAGCGGAGCTGTTAAGGGCTAGTTTCCCCAGTTTCGTGTCCGGTACCAAAAAATGTCGACACTAAACTACACAAAACTCTGGACAACTACCGCCATATATGAGCGACGGCGGCAACCAGACACCCGGTCTGGTTGCCACCGTCGCTCATACATGGCGGTAATTTTTACAGCTATCATAGAAGAATGGATAGTTGGGCGAGTTGGTGGGGATTCATCGTAGGAAACAGCGTGAAAAACAGACGAGGACGAAGAAGAAACACACGGGACTAGCACATTCCCGCCATAGTATAGATTCGCTGGTCTTCCTTCTTCACCAAACTGAAAAGGCTGAAAGCTTTTTGTTTTTGTTTTTTTGCCTCTTTTGACTGTTATCGCAGTATTTTCATTCTGCGATATGTGGCGTTATCTTTTAATGGGAGAACCCAACATAAGTGTCTGTCGTCGGAGCCCGCGTTAAAACTACTAGTAATTTTCTCAGAAAGAATGCAACGCTTTGTAAATTTACAAGGTAAAATCGACCACAAAAATGAAACCTCTTATGGAGATTACAACTTCCTACCTGAAGGAACAATATTTTACGCACATTTTACAGCGTATCGAACGTCCGTGACACTCCGTTTGCGACAGTGTTGGAACTAACACGCTACAAGTAACGGCGTGACTGGTAACGCGTTAGTTTTTTTACTAACGTCTTAACGTTCTCGTTAGAATTCCAAATGACGAACGAGTTATGTCGTTTTTATTTTACGGTATCTCCTATCAAATTACGTTACCCGTTAATCGTTACTTTTGATTAAAAATGGCCGCATGATTGCTTGAAAACAAAATAATTTTTGTTCTGTACACTACGTAAATGTGGAAAAGGAGTCCCAACAAAGCTATGTATAAATTAGTTGCGCCATTTCAAACTCCTTCTGAAGGCACTTTTAACGTTCCCACGACCAATCCCAAAAGGCTCGAGATTATCGCTGCGCCGTACCCTCAGCAGCCGTCTCGCTGGAAAGAGACATTTGTTCAGAAGGCAACAGTCTGCCACCACTCGAAGGATTTTACCCTAGCTACTCCAGCTGGTCACATTCTTCTGTTCAAAACAAATAAACTTTTGTTGTGTCAACAACAGAAGGGATAAACTCTAAGTTCGGAAGCGTTGACGTTCCCACGCTTTGAACCAAAACGAGTGTGTCAGCGGTGGCCGGGTGTTGACGTGTCGTTAATTGGAAATGCGACGTTGGTTTGTGAAGGAATAAAATAACGCTTATTTTACCGGATTAAATTTGATTACATGAAGAGGTTTATGTTGCGTCCGTTAGGTGGCGTGCACCCGGTTCTTCTTTTCCAGAGCGGTTTCTTGTTCCCAGGCAGGTGCTATGGGCAAGGTTCAATTCTTCCAATCGCGCTCGCGAGGCGTCTCGCGTTCGAGGATATACATTACGCATCCTGCCGACAGTGAATCTTTTAATAGCCCGGTCAATGCAGTGTGAATTTCTTTGTTAATTATTGTGGCGTTATTGAAATTTTAAATTTTTATTATTGTGTTTTGTTTTTAATTGCGTAATTATATTTTTTTTTTTTTTTTGGAATGGACTTGTGCTGTTTGTGTGAGTTTCCAGCGTATAAATATGATCTGTACCCCGCCCTTCTGCAGGAGGCTCCGGCGCTGCAGAGTACAAATAAATAAAGAATCACTCTTAACAAGTGTATAGCTGCCGAAGTTTATAGAGGCGTTTATTATATACAGCTGCCATATACCAACAGAAAAACACAAAGTAGCGACACACTGACGTAAAAGCAACGTCCGTTAGTCATGGCAAGTA